AACAACTTTATACATATCATTTCCTAAATAGGAGCACGTATTAAACAGAAACCGTCGAATAGTTGCTAACTATCCCAACGAACAATGTTCTGTTTATTGCACAAATTTCCTACAAAAAACCTAACATTGTAACTTTAAAAAAATTCAATACCAGAGTTACCTGAAAGACTAACAAATAGGTTTGACTAGTACTCTGAAAAGTTGTGGGTTTTCCAATAGAAGGAGCAACTGGATTTCGTTTTTCTCAGCGCAGTCAGTTACATTTCACCAGAGTAGCAATCATAACTGAATATTATTAATGTAAAAGCACGATCCTTAGAACCTACAAGGCTGACAATGACTTTGAGATAACCGAACAATTAGAAACCCTTTCACTTCGAATGAACAGTGCTGAAAATCAAAATTCACACATTTCACTTTGCAAAATAGCGAAAAAGAAAAAGGACCAAGTGAAAGAACTGCCAAAGAGGTTTAACTAAATCAAACCCATGGAATATCGTCCACAGACACAAAAGATACAGACTGTCAGCAGTCTCTTACTTTTCTTCGAGGTTAGTGGGGTGGTACACGCGTGGGCGGCTCCACTCGCGTCTCGAGCCTACAGTTGTGCGTGGGACTATTTTCTACCATCGCGCGTTTAGTTCGACGGACTCAATAAGGAAAGAGACTGCTCGTAGTCTACAAAAGTTAGAACCTAGTAAATAGCACTAAGTGAAACAACGGCTGAATAGGTTTTATCTGAATGGTCAAATTAAAGAATTTCATCCACCGTGGACTCAAAAGATAGAGCTATATTTCGTGAGTCCATAGTTGACTGGGAAAGAGAGGGCAAAATGCCTAGACTCAGCACTGCAAAACTTCCCTCTAGAACTTACATAGTTCATTATTTTTCGAAAAATAACTGTTGGCTTTTTAACTGTTTTTGAGGTTGAGCGATCTTGGTGGCGAAAGCAAAGGACTGGACCGCAAATCAGTGGTGACTACATTCACCATCACTATCATTTCGATTACCTTCTTTTTTGTTTCTTGGCACAAGCTAAACACTGGCTTCGCTAAGTCGTACGCGTTCCGCTAAATTGCTGTGAAGTTCTGTAAAAGAAGGTCGATCCTCCGGTTCCTTGCTCCAGCAGCGTTTCATCAGCTCGTACAAGTCTCCTGGGCACGTGTCAGGCTGGGGTGGTGCAGAGAAGGGCGTGTCCAAACGGAGGAACGACGCTTGGATATTTTTAATCAGCTCCTCGTCACTGAGTTCTGAGTAGGGGTACTCTCTGGCAAGTGTGAGTATCTCCCACAAAGTCACACCGTACGCCCACACATCACTTGCGGTAGTGAAGCGACCTGTGCACGATAAATCAAACATCACATGTTTAATTACTCAGAGTCACTAATAATTCATGAAAATAAAATAAAAAAGACAATCAATACCCTGTCTGTGGTTTGGATGTCGATTCTGTGTTTTGAATATTGACTAGAAGAATCGTCGTTCATTAGAGAAGCTTTATCAAACACTCCCCTTGGCGTTTCACCTGATATCCAGACACATCGGTATCGGTCTTAAAAAACCTCGGCTACGCTTCGCTTTTTTAACCCACACATTGGATGAAACACTGAGTGTCGTGTTTGATATGTTCCTTCAAATTGCTTCAACGTATGGGGGACACTTGAGATCAGCAATTGTTAAGTCGTAAGTCAGAATACTGAAATCAAATGACGAAATTTGCAAAAATTTGCTTTCGCACTGGTTTACCGCGCGTGTTTGCCTCTAATTTAATCGAATGATTGGTAGATTGGCTAACTGAATGAACGTAGCTTTGGTTGTTTTTTTGGTCACTTCAACGATATACAAAAATAGCTTCCACTGAATTTCCGTTTACCTTGCAGTATGCTCTCAGGTGCCATCCACCGTATTGGCAGGATGACTCTTCCTTCAACGCGATAGTAGTGTTTACAATACAAGTTCCTTGACATTCCAAAGTCTGCTATCTTCACTGTGTAGGCGTGTCCTACCAGACAGTTCCGTGTTGCAAGATCTCGGTGAACATAGTTCAATGATGATATATACTTCATGCCGGCCGCCACTTGCTTTGCCATGTAAAACAGGGCGTGAAGAGAGACAAACTGAGAGTTACTACTCCTTTTCCTGCTTTGATTTACATACGTGTTTGGCTCTGGTTCTCTCTCTTTAAGAAACTGATTGAGATCGCCATTAGCCATGTACTCCACAATCATGCACATGGGGTCATCACGGCAGACGCCCAGCAGGCGAACAACATTCTTGTGCCTGAGGCCAGCCATGGCTTTCACTTCCTTGAAGAAATCATTCTTAATGTTCTTATCTACGTCCGGCTTAAGCGTCTTAATTGCTACTGTTGCTTTCTGGCAGTTCTTATACTCTTCCCAAATCTCGCCTAACCCTGCAGCCTCACCAATATACACCTCACCAAACTGTCCATCACCAATCTTCTCTCGAAAGTAGAGCTTGCTCCGCGGAAAGTCCCTGAAGCTGTCCTGTCTGGATCTCATACCGAGTTCCTCGTCAGGATTACAATACAAACTGGTGCCAGACACCCCCTGATAAGGCTCCGAGTACACCTCCTCGTATATGGGATTAGGGAATATAGTCAATGCTTTAGGTGAAATTGAATCAATAGGTTCAGAATACCCACTGATAACATTAGACCTGTCGGGGGATTTCGGTAACGTAGGACTCTTAACCAAGGGTGTATCAGGTTCTGCATAATCATTATCTGGAAACTCTTCAATGTAGTCTATAGTCTGAGAATCCAGTGGAGAAGGTATAGTAGGTTTGGGTGAAGGTCCTGGTGACGCTGAAGCGGCCGATAACAGAGGAGTATCAGGTTCGGCGTAAACTACTTCAGGGACTGAATGTACTGGCTGCAAGGGTGGAGGCACCGGCGGCTTCACTGCAACAAATTCAACAACAACGATATCATATATGAGCCAGTGGAGACCGAGCCCCGCCCCCTTATCTAAGGGTCTGGATGACCGGTCCCCCCCCCCCCCCCCCCCCCCCCCCCCCGCCCCCCCGCCCCCCCCTCCCCGCTGAACCTTTCAGGGAGGCGCCGGGCAAGGCCCGGATGGTGGCTTTATTTTTGACCATTCTATTCTATCCTCTTATCATGACGGTGTACTTAACATCTACGGTGAACCACTGCGGAGAATGAAGGAACTGGAGGAAAGGGTGGAAGCCCCGGCGGCTTCCCTCCAACAAATTCAAAAACAAAGATATCATATATGGGCCAGGGGGGCCCGCGCCCCCCCCCCTTTTCAAAGGGTCTGGATGCCCGGCCCCCCCCCCCCCCCCCCCCCCCCCTGGATCCGGGACTGTCAGCAGTGACTGAAGTTAATACTGTGTGTGACAGGCGACATTTAAGCAGGGCATTGTTTGAATTTTGGAACATCTTAAAGTCTCTTCTGTCAAAACTGTTGAAATGACCGCTGTGGTGCTGCGTCAGTGAAACTCAAAAATTTGGTGTTATCATCTGAGTGGATAAAGTCTATATATGGTTTTAGACGAAGTTTTTTGTAGATGAAGTTTGTCCATAGTACAAAGATTCAAAAGCTCTCGCTTTGAGTGCTAGCCCATTGTCAGAGTGAATCTAGGGTTTGAGGATTGTGTGTGGTTTATATCGCGAAATGGCAGAGCTTAGACTACGAGTAGTCTCTCATTTTCCCTCAGGGATAGTCTAAGCAGAGCTTCACTAGTTGTAGAAACGCGTCAGCTGTACATTCACTATTTTTTTTTTCATTTTTCAGTATTATACACTGCAATACAAGAACTTCCTTCAATTTTTACCTTCTCTCTCCGTACATATGAGATCACAACACGGATTCTTTGCAACAAACCTTTTTTTCAGAGGTTTTATATCAGAGCCTAAAAAAACGGATGAAACACTGCGTGTCGTGTTTGATGTAGTTACTTCAAAATTGCTTGAACGGTGAGTTATTTTACATTATCGGAAACACTTAATTTCACTAGCCCTCATGCAAAAAAACACGTTCCTTCAGTTTTGACTTTCTCTATCCATACGTATGCGATGATCACAACACGGATTCGTTGCAACAAACCTTTTTTCAATGGTTTTATATCACAGCCATGTCTATGCAGCTTCTGAGAGCCGTTAACGTAGCCATTGGTGTTGGATTCCTTATCCATATCAGTCCCAATAGAGGCGTATATAGGGCAGGCTGTCACATCTGCTCCTCCAACTCGCCTTGAACTGTTAGTACTGCCAGTGTTTCTGAGGCTGCTTCTTTTCTCCTCGCATTCACTCGCTGTGCTCTCCACGCGAGAAACTCGTCTGTCCTCGTCGTACTGGTTATATGGCTGCATTTCAACTTTGATAAAATGATTGAAAGGCTTTTCTCGGTGAAAGAACCAGTGAGGATAACGCCACCAACAAATAAACAACACAACAGCTAACAACACAGCAATCACTGCACAGATAATGCCAGCTATCACACCACCATCCATTGAATTACTCTTTGAACTGCCTCCACCTGGTGGAAAATTAAAAGTGAAAGGATTACAAAATACAATTGAACCGGTTTTGCAAGAATTACCTGGCCTTGATATTTATCAGATGTATAGACTGAGGACCGACAAACAGCTACTGAGTTGAAAAGTATTGTCAATCACATTACATCCATGTAATTGAATTAGTAATTGAAGAGGGTTGGACACATGTCCCTTGATCTACTGAGAACTGATGGAGACGCAGAGGCACAAGTAACGACACTGTCAAGGAAGTAGGCAGTTCCTGCATCAAACATGCAGCGACTTTTGCGTTCCCAAAAATTTTGCACAACTTTCGTTTTCAATTTTTCGAGGGACGACTGTTGCTCCTAAGCAAAGAGAAATCGTGGGGAAAACAAATTGTGTTATGGGGAACTTGAAAGTCGCAAATTTACGCTCAAATGGACTTTGACACAGTTTTGCCAATCACTCGCTATGAAACTTAAGTTAGCAAAAAAATAATGGTAATACTTTTAAAAGACGAATACGCTTGTACGCTTTCATATTTTACTTTGGTGGCTAATTTCAGTCTGTTCGGTGGCCAGTTACATAGATGAATGAAACAATTACATTGTTCCCCTAACAGATCAGTTTTTCGTCTCATGCAGGGTGTTCCAGGCAAAACGTCAATGCTTTTAGCCGTCACGATCCCTCTTAGGCTGACAAATGAAGAATTACAGACAAATATAAATTCTATTTTTAGCAGTCTGGTATCCTTAACCCTTTAAGCCCCAAGAGTGACGAGCATCAAATTTCTCCTTGTAATATCAATGCTTTGTAAACCAGAGTGGTCATGAGAATTACGGACATGATCACACAAGATGAATTTGCTTTTTATTTTATCAACTTCTCCCAACTACTTCTGTAGGAAATGAATAGGGGAAACAAATGAGAATTCAAATTTTGATCCTAGGGTTTAAAGGCCAATAAAAGCCGAAGCAGAGCCCAAATTGGTCATTGTAAATTTCAGACAACACCAACTGTTTCATATGCCTCCCCCGCTACCCCACACCCCTTGGAGGACATGATATTATTCTAAAGTGCATTTTCCCTGAAAACAGCTGAGTATGTTTCATACCTGTTCCCTCTGTTTTTGATGGGCTAGTGGTGGGAGGAAAAGTTACTTTATCAGAAGGTGTTACAGTGGTTTTTGAAGGTTTTACAACTGGCACACACTGAACCTCTGGGCGAGTCTTGGAACCAAGGGCCTCTGAAAACAACACAAACACAGTATGTTGTCTTAATGCTGCAAAATAAATGGCTTCAGGAAAATAATAGGGTCTATACCAGACGATGCTTGTGGTAATGATAACTACAATGGAACATAATGCTGAAATACAAAAGACCAGGGAAGGTTTGCCACTAAAATGTACGTAGGTTGTGTGCAAACACCACATATTTCTGTTGTGAGAAAACATAGTCACTTTTCCTTAAGGAACAAAGGAAATAGGAGACATCTGCACACAGGCTAAACTTTAAGTCATAACAATGTTTCCTGCTTGGGCAAAACATTTGCACATAAAACCAAACATTTTTTAACTTGAGGGGCAAAATAGCTACCATTCATGCCCTTCTTACCCTCTTAAGGTAAAACTACTTAGTACTCACCTGATTTAAAAGAAACCTCACTTATTAATATCCACTCTGCTGCGTAAGTGAAATTCAACTTAATTTTTCTTCCAATATGTTGACACAAGTCCACTGTGACATTACTGTTTAACCAACTTGATCCACTGCTAACATCCTTAGGACTGTGAGTGAGTAAGCCATTAAAAGCTTCTCCATCACCCTTACTAAAACTTACATCAACTTTGGAGAACAGTTTAATATTGTCTCCATCTCTGACATTGCAATGTAATGTCATTGAATAGAAAATTCTAGTTTGAAAGAATTCAAATATAATGTAAGGTGCAGGAGTGTCCTTAGAATTCCAGCCGATCCAGCCCAATCCACTGCTCCCTGCATAATCTGCTGGGGCCAGTATACCATCAGTGAGAAATCCAAGACCGTTTGACAGGATGTCTTTCTTGTCTTCACCATCATAAATCAAATCTGTGAAGTTATACATTCCTTGTCTTGAATTTCCTTGTAGCATATTGTACTTCATAAGCCCTGGCAGATAAAAAATAAATAAAAATTAAAGTAAGCCTTAAATAAAGTTCTGTTTGTAAACCTAAATCATGTTAAGCAAAGAGCAACAAAATCAATACAAATACCATAAATCCTTAAAATAGCAACTTAAGTATACACAATGTTTTTTTTATTTTGGGGAGAAATAATATGGGTTGCCACAGGGTGAAATACTTCTTTTTATGGTATTTTGTGGCCTTTCAAAAGAGGCAAAGCTTTCTACTTTCGATACCCACTGAGATATATGAATATATATATATTTTTGTATCTAAACAAGGAGAATTTTGCCTTTTTGGGGTCAGTGAGAAACGAGTTAAGCAGAATAGCAGGCTCAACCATTAAAATGACATACTCAAAATGGAACACTCGAGAAAGAGAAATGTTGATTACAACATAAAAGCTGAAAAATGAAAATGATAACACTGACCATTCCTAATTATTATAAACTATAATAACAAGGCTATGCTCTAAGAAAAAATGAAGCAGGAATTCCAGCATTTCTTTGAACCTGTGAAATCCAGGGTGCCCAGCTTACGATTTCTTTGAAAAAAAACTAAGATTTTCTAGCTGCCTGAGAGCACAAGTTAAGCGCCAAGGGGCTATTGGGCACTTACTTATTTTCAAATCACTTCCACCATATGGTGCGGAACACACAACAGAGGGGTCTCCAATTTAAGTGCGTCCTTACAGATAACCCACCCAGCCCAGGAGAGGTTGGCCACACCACCGGAGTCTACATCCCCTACTCTTTTTCAACGGTGGTGTGGGTTCTTTAACATCCCATAAGAACCAGATAAGTGAAAGAGTGCTCTGAGACAGGACCTATGGTTTTTGGTCCTTATCTAAGAAGACTAGAGAGTCTAACCGTTTGTAGATGTCATTACAAAGGCATCATTTTCTCCTAAGTTATTCAAAGACCCTGAGTGTAGGTCTGGCCATGTTTCAACCAGCAACCTCCTGCTCAGCAGACCAGCGCTCTCCCAACTGAGTTAACCAGGCAGTGGCTAGAGCCACCTTAGGATGATATTAAATTTCCGTTTTTACATTCAACCTGCTTTTCTACAGCCATGTAAGTAGACTTCTCTGTACTTCAATAATAAAATTGTTTTCAAAAAGGTTATTGTTTACATTTTCTTTAATGCCCTGCGACTGTTACTAGCTACGATTGTGTGGTTCCAGAAAATATCCAGACTCCCACCACGGAGGGAATTGGAAATTCCAGAGGGGTGGGGTCAGAGGCCCAGGAAATTCCAGAGGGAAGGGGGTTGGACGATAAAATCACTTTCCAGTGGGCCAATATCATTTCGTTTTCGACCCGAGTTCAAACATTGCTTCTTACCGACCTGGTAGATCATTTTTAGGACATAAATAACTTGAAATATATCATTGCCAACGAGCCATCCGAGCGAAGACGCTCGGATGGGGAGGCGGCAGCAGAATAGAGCCGCGCAAGACTGGGCTGTAGGCAGAAAAATTCTTGATCGAGCTTCAAAAAGTGTAACCTCATGTAATGTAGATTCCCCTGAGACCAAGTGCCAATCAAAAGGCGGTAAACTATACTTGGCACACATGTGTTCTTTCCTCGGCGTCACGCGAAGACTGAACTTGAGTGTGGTACGCTTTTATTGTTTATTCAGCTAAATCTGGCCCCGGCAGTCAAGGAAAATGAAAACTTGATGCATTGTATCAATGTTGGGGGGCATTAATGTAAGGTTTTAACGAAGAGAAGCTTGTAAAACAACAGTTTAAGCAAAGAAAAGTTTTCCATGTGAAACAAGCAATTCTCACCACTAAAAAGGATCAGATTACACGAAGAGATAAGTAAAGCTTGATATGAAGAATATATAGTCGCTTCTGTTGGAAAATCTGATGTTGGGGAAAAAATCTAACCAGCAAATGGAAAAGTAAGAATAAAAAAGAATTACAAGCCTAAAGCGAACGACAAAGGAAAAGAAAACAACGCTATTTTTTTCGAAGCCGTACATGTCGTACATCGCATGTCCTTGAAAATATTTCAAGCAGCGCAGCAAATCATTCTAAAATTCAGTCGGGAAACAAAAAGCCTCAGGAAATTCCAGAGGAGGTTTAAATAATTAAACTGCACAAATATTTATCTACAAAGTGAAACCGAACCGAGACTAATTTTGTAGTGGTAAGAGAAACGATCATTTTTTATATTTCCCCCTAAATATTACCGATCGCTTCCTCTGCAAGCTGTTTTATAATTTCAAAAAAATATGCCTAATGACACCTTAAACTTTTATATAGCAGGTTCGTAAAGCCAATGGAGTCTGAGAACTGACTCTTCTCCGAACCTTTCTACTTGCATAGCACCTTAGTTTCAAGAAAATAATCCTTTCAACAGGAAGGGACCAAGAAACTGTCAAATGTTGGATAAAAGGAATCCATTCCTATGCAAAATACGCATGACTTGCTCGTTGGCACCCTATCGATAGGTATACCTAGTTTAAGATTGTTCCTTTTGATCTTAACCAAGTTTCCTTTCTTCCAAAAGCATTCTGGCTGCAACATCAAAGGAATTAGACCGACTACAACTCTCGTTTCTTCGCATGCTCGTATATTCGGCCGCCATTACTCGTTACCAGTCTCCCTCAAGACATCAACAAGTGCAACACATCACGTTGTACATTGTGTCAGTCGATTGATTGAAGAACAATAGAGTGGCAATTTTATTTTGCTTCACGAAGCACAATCTATACATTGTAACCATTTTAGAATGTAGAGTTTTTGTTCTCCTTTTCATTTTCCCTTAATTGTGTGGTTGAAGGTGTGCCATGTTCGTGATCGAATTCTTGCTGAAATGGTGTCGATTTCACCAAACATTACGGCCATCCCGCATCACGTCAAATGAGTCGATCGAAAAACAGTAAATTGAACTTGGTTTCCCTTCAAGATGCAGGGGGTATTCATTGTTATCATTTCATAATTCAGAGTTTTTATTCTTCTCTTTGTTTTGCCTTAATTTTGTGGTTGTAAGGTGGACTTGTTCTGCATTCCTGCAGGAAATGGCGCTAATTCTTTCAACATTTAATATGCCCATGAAGACAAATAACAAATCGTAAGCTTGCCCTAATTAAGGTAAAATCACAAATATAACCGACTTAACTTTATCTGTTTCATTCAAAGTAAGAAATGAGCAAAAATTGCAGATTAGGTTACTTTGTGGTGGTGTAGTGTGTTTAATGTTGCGAGATCACTCAAATAAATGGCAATAAATGCATACAACCTTCTGATGGAAACCGTTGCGTAGTAGCCATAAATGGCCTCATTCTTCTACTTTAATAGTCTTTTTTTGTGAAAATGAACTTTTCCAGAGGGGTTGGGGGGTCTTTGTCATACTTGTGGAAATTCCGGAGGGGTGGGGGGGGGGCCATCAGTTCCCTGCAAAATGGAAAATCCAGGGAGGTGGGGGGGTCCTAAGTGAAATTCCTTCCGTGGTGGCGGTCTGGATATTTTCTGGAACTACACATTATAACTCACCATTTACCAGTGGACAACCAAGCAGCTCAAACCTCATGCACACCTTCTTACTGACATTGAATAAAGGAACCAGCCTGATTCCATCTGCAATTAGTGGAGGCCTCAGAATTGTTCTCTGTACGGGCCTGTCTATATTACCCTCAAAATACTGAAAAACAAAATAGTTAACACCAGTAATGATTTTCCTGACACAAGTCTACCTTCAGCTTTCTGATCTCTCTCCATTGGCAATAATAGAATTATCTAAATTATTTAAATCTACTATGCCTTACATGAACATGGCCTACTCCTCAAAATGCAAAATGACCTTATTTGAAATGGAGAGCGTTTGGTGTTTGCTTAGGCTTCACTTCTCTTGTGTTGGTGGAATTTTAAAATATTCATACAAAGAAAAGCATGGTCAAATACTCGGTTACTCTAGCTGAACAGAGTAATTTTCAAAGATTTAATGCTATAAGCTGCTATAAGTCAGTTCTCAGAAGTTCTCAAAATAAAGCTTTGGCACTTATGCTGAAGATTGGACAACCTAATTCAAATCTCAGAAAAAAAATTCTGATGTTTTCTTGAGTTTAATAAGACATCATTGCAAAGCTCCTTTTATTCCTCAGCAATTTCTCTTTGTAAAATTGTACATGTAGCTAGTGTGCAAGCACCCTAATTATTGAAAAGGTCAGCACATGGAAGCTCTAAAATAGTGGTGGACCAAAACGCCATGCATTTACTCCCAGTAAACTCACTTAATGGATTATGCCTTTACATTTCAAACTAAAAATTTATCAGCCAATTAAAACAGACTAGAATAAAGATGAGATGAGTAAAAAGTGTGGTTAATCGATTAAAGAAATGTGAAGTGAGGCCTCTATCAACAGAGAGATGGCAATGATTCATAACTTACATCTTGATTCGTATAGGTAATAGCATGATTTGTGGTGATACTTGGTATAAATACCACGAGTGATATTTCGAAATTGTTATATGTAATTTCACAAGCCATTAGGTGAGTGAAATTTGAGACAATTTTGAAATATCATGAGTGGTGTTGATGGTAATATACATGTAGCATTCTATTATATCACCAACAATGAAATACAAGGAGAGGTTTCACACGCAGCAAAAAAATTGGTATTTCATGGGTGTTTATAAAATATTAATTATAATTATTAGAACATTACATGGCCACTTGGAGATACAAAATTTCTTTTTGTTTTTCCTTACTTAAAAAGAGATTTCATATCTCTAAGCGACCATGTAATATCCTCTATGTGTGAACACAGTAAATTGTGCTGGGGAAGGAATTTAAGTTTAAAACATGCTGGGGCACTTATCACCAGCTGATGAATGTTCCAGATTAATAACTAATTAGCTGAAGATCTTTGTCATTAATTCAGTTCATACCTCGCGCATGTTGCCAATCCACTTCCATGAAGAAGAGTCACTTTTGTTTGGGGTGTAATTAATAATGAAATGTTCCACTTTTCCTAATCCCTTGGAACTTCCCTGTAAGTCAATGCCCTTAATTCTTACAAGTTCATCCAGCTTGACCTGTACATACTGTGAATATTGTGTTTTGTTTAAAGGGCCTTCCTGAACTGGACACCAACCACCATCACCACCAGTATGATTAAATCTAGCATAAATTGCTCCAGAAGGACCGGATGGAGGGGATGTTGCTTTGATCTGATCATTCTTGATTCGTCCATCCTCCATTCCCAGTGGAGACAAGCAACCTAGAAAACAGCAAGACACTGTTATGAAAAAAAATTAACAATTGGTTCAAGCATCAGCATGCATATGTCAAGATATGAAGCACAAGGGAAGTTTGGAGACCTCAAAAGCCAAGAGCAACTCTAGCCGCTTGAGAAGAACTTCACAAGAACTCAAGGAATTAGTTTGTTGACGTCATCAACGTGCTCAATGAGAATATGAAGCATGCTCGTGCTATTGAATTTGACTGGGTGAGTATTTTAGCTAATTTTTTTTTAAGGGGGATTGATCAAACTTAATGCCACTAATGCAACACCACAGTCTCTTTAGAAACTAACTCTTTCATTTATCTGTCACAAACAGTCCACCAGTGGCGAATCCAAAAAATTGTCAGTCTCTCAAACTTTCCAAAACAATCATGATTACGATTATAATAATGTGAGGTACATGTAATGTCCCAGCGCTTAACCTGGATAACAAGACACATGTTGGACTATTGTTAGGTTAGTCAATCAGTTGAATTACCCAGAGACAGTGTGGAGGAACCATGACCTTCACAGGTAGGTCCCATGTGGCAGCTACCACCCCATCAGGTCCTAGCACATGGAGTCTAATGTGATAAGGGTGAGAGGTAGCTGATTGAAACAATCCCCTCTCTAAATCTAAGATTTAGGAAAAAGTATGATCATAACATGGACTATTTGTTCTTGCATTTTTATAGTGTATTTTACTCAACATAATATTCTAAAAAATGTGTCAATGTAATGGCTCAATTTTTTTGCACGGGTGAGGCTCATACATGAACCTAAGGTGTGAGATGAGTTAGCAGGTGTACAGCAGAATGCTGAGAATTTGAACCAAACCAAACTTCCCTTCACAAGTCAAACACTGTGATTTTACCACCTTGATTTTTTAAACCTCCTGATAATTCAAACTAATTTGGTTTTGTAAAGGTGGTTCAAAAAATCTGGATTCCACTGTATAGTGCATTTGCTATATGTCACACAAGAGACTAAACATAAAAACAAAATTGGTTACTACACAAGGCAGTTGTGGATTTAAGACATCCATTAATTCATGAACATACCTTCTTGTGAGGTCACCAGAAGAATCCCAGTGCTGGTCAAAAGGAGGGCAATCCAAACAAGACTGAACAATCTATCTTGAACATACATTTTGAAAGACGAAAAATTTTCATATCATCCTGCAAAAAAAAATATTTTTTCAAGTGTTAAAAACATAAGTTCCACCTTTTCATATATTTGACACAGCTGAATATTCTGTAACCTACATGTACAGATTTTCACTGACAGAAAAAAAAAAACAATGCCAGCCTTGTGGTTCACATTTCTCAGTCATACTGTCTTAAAAGTTTCAATAGCTGCAGTTTAAAATAATTGTCTCGTGTTTTTCATCTAGCAAGAAGAAAATGTATGGCTTGTAAATACAGCACTGATGACTACATTTTGCACATATCATTTCTTACTAGTCAGACGACAAACTCCAATTGTTTTCTTACATGCACCAATAGAATCAAATAATTGCCCCAAGCGTCGAGTTCTATCAGCTAAGACTCTAGTTGAAGGAGATACATGTCTAGTTAAAAGAGTTTTGTAGCCTATTTTTTGAGTTTACAAAGCCTTTACTGACAGAATCTAAAACAGATTTTCCTGAGCAATATATCAACACTCAACTCTATACAGGACACAAGAGTAGGCCAATAGGTCACCACTTTACTCATCAAAAATTTTTAATCTCACTAGTGTAAAATAATCCAGCACTGATATAATCACCCTAATCCAAATTAAATAACACATTGCAAAGGAAGAGAAGAACCTCTTAAGGAATCCAATTAGATAATTTTTTTTTAACTTGTGTCAAAAGACTTTGTGGTGTGGAACAAAATTTCCATTTTTACAGATTTTTGTTTTAAAATATGTTATAAAGATAATTTAGGACCTCCCAGATTAAACATAATGTACTTAGTAATCATTGCAGAAATGGCAAAGTAGAAAAGGGTATATGCCTCCACTTCAGGTTTATTCTAACAGAAAAACATTCAACCTTTAATTTAGGAAGCTGTCAATACTCCGCTTACGTTTAAAAAATCCCAGACAATATTCACAACTGTCAAATAAAACTGTTTCCTAAATCCATCATGAACAAACAAGGCAATAAGGGAAAGTTCATTTAATATGACAAGGGGGGGGGGATGAGGATATTGAAACTCGAAGCATGAAATTTTAGTAGCCCCCCTCGCTAGCGGTTCAATTTTTTAGGAGCCCCCTCCTTGGTAGTCGGAAAAATTTCAGAGCCCCCCCTCCCTCCTCCTTCAATTCCTTTGCTCCCCTGAAAAAAGATCGCTAGACTGTATTAAATACATTTACCGTTATTGTCTTCAATGGTTTATACTATGACAAACTTGAGATACAGTTGTGATACAATTTTCTAAAGCATTTTTGGGATGAACAAGAGTGTAATAATTACTGAGACTATATTTGTTATATCTGTAAACCACGTGATATAGCTGAGTTGCACAGGTCATTAAATTGTTGAGTTGAAAACCATCCGATCTGTATGATGATGTCATGTGTTGGTTTTGAAGTATACAAATTTTCGGAGCCCCCCTCCTAGCGCAACAATTTTTCCAGAGCCCCCACTTCGGGTGTCTAAAAAATTTCGGAGCCCCCCCTCAATATCTTCATCCCCCCCCCCCTTGTCATATTAAATGAACTTTTCCTAATGCCAGGATAAACTACATACAAGGTTGTCACAAGGGGTTTGGTTCAGGGATATGCTCATGACCCCAAGCTACTTTCCTAGGAAAGAAAAGACAAATTAAATCTAGAAGAACTTTCTAGATGTTCAATCTTTGCCTAGTCAACTTGAATTGATTCTATCTGTACATCTTCAATCCAGTTCATGGAATAACTCATTTGCTGGAAAATCTTTGTCCTTCAGAAGCTGTGTAATTACCTTTCCACACAGGCGGTGTTGGGAATTTCCTCCTGCAAAGGTAATCAGGTTTGTGCTGTGCTTAAGCAGTGCCTGGCCTGCCCCTGGCAACTTACTTTACCTTTCGTCAATTATAAGAAATGTTGCCTCAAGTGGCAGTTTATCAGATCTTGAAGACTAAGGTCTTGCAAGCATTCCACAAGCTAAACAAAATTTGGGAGTCCACCATGGCAGACAGCATGGAAAAAAACCTTTATGTGGCTCCATTCATTAGTTGTTATCTATTATGGCTACGCTGGAGGACAGGCTGGATGATATGATAGGTACAAAATGGTCCTAGAAAGACAGCATCAATAATGGTGATCTGCCATTTCTAATGCCATGGCTTTTGCACTATAACCATCCGCGACTTCCATGTTCCCCATGATGAATTTTGCTTTCCCCACAAAATTTTGCATAAGTTTTGTTTTCAGTTTCTTGAGGGAAGATTGTACCTCCCAGGAGAAATGAAAACCCTACATTTGCAAAATGATTTATGTCAAGCTTTATTGGGCAAGATCAAATCGAAAAAATAAAATTAAAAAAAATACAAATTGGAAATATACAAACATAAAGAATTAAAGCCCAAAAGGGATGGGCACGATTGGAACACTCAGACCCAGGTGCCTACCCCAGGAAAGTATAAGGATAGGTACAGTTAGACAAGACCTTTTCTCCAAAGCTCCTCTTGAAAAAATAGCTTGGATTGGGTTCGCTCTAGGTTTTGATCACTTTCTTGTTTGCAGTTGCACATCAGTGAATTGCCCAAGGGGAGGGAAAAAGTTGAATTCTGTTTTGTTATCAACATCGTTGCAATTGTAAACATTGAAGACTGAAATAAATTGTAAACGGTTTTGAGCATTTTTACATGTACTCTTTTAATAAAACCTCCACATCAATAAAGCTTAACAAGACTGATTCAGCCTTGAAAATTTTGAGAGAGTTGAAACAAAACATGTGAAAGAGGTGAAAGAAGAAGTAATGAAAAGAAAAGCCGTTCAACTATTACCCTTTTAGAAGATCGTTACCGGTAATTAATACTTTCCTTCTCAAACCTGTTACGGATGTTAACCTTATCAAAGGTGTAGACTGTCAGCTTTTGTTGTGGCAAACAAAATAATCACTATAAAAATCCAATTTCACCTTTCATTGCCTTTAACCGAACCAGAATTTGTTTGAAGAGTTTTATTCAGGTTGTATTTTCTGTTGATTGTAAGTTTTTGACATTGATCTTTTCACCCCTTAAACGAAACGCTGAGAACAAAAACAGCACCGCCCCAGAATCTCAAATTTGGATCAAAATACGAGCTTTTATCTGCGGGAAATTATTCATGTGGCTGCATAACGTATTGGTTTACAAGGTGGAATATGGTGCTTAAATGCAAAATTTTAAGAAGACTTGACCTTACATCACGCCTCAAAATAGAATATCTAGCAGGGCACCAAACAGAGATCTTTTTTAGAAAGTTGTATTCAAATTCGATTAAGCGAAGGTGTTTGTATACATGCCTGTGTCAAATATAAAGGTTACATTTTAGAAGTTGTAGACAGGATGTAAAGTAATTCTCGCGGTTTTAATCGCCAGTCTCGTTTCTCAAATTATTTGCCGCGACACGCAAATTTTTAAATCCTCTGGGTTTTCTCACAAATAAATTAATCATTTTTGATATTGACGCCAAACAACTTCATATCATTTATTCTAAATATTTTTAAGAAATGCAGTAAAAATTAAATACAAAATGGAACAATGGCTGTAATATTGTCAATACTGGTAGCAAGAGGAGGCTCTTGAGAATCGACGACTTGATGGTTGCGGTACATCAGATGTGGTCAATCTTCGCACAAAAGAACATGCCATGCTTTTTAATTTCTAACTCGCTCCGGGCGAAACTAAAACTTTTAAGAGTACAAAGGATGGATTTCCTTTGCTTTTGCAATATCTTATCGGTAGAATATAACTTAATCGCTGTTATTTGTTTGGATAAAATTTATAAAAAGACAAACATTACACGGTCAAACGGGCTGGGAAAAAATCACTATCCTCCAACGATGAGTGAATTAGTTACTGCCAATCTTTAGCTAACGAAAAGCTTTGCACTTTGGATATAAATAGCTTAAAGGAAAACAGTAAACCGTCACTACGTTGCTCACACAACTTACGCTTAACTTGTTTACCATTGCACATACCTTCACCGCATGATGTTGTACAGAATGGAAATACCTGCGTTCGGGTTGACACTAACCGAAGAGAACGAGTGCGAAAGATTTCCTGGCTCACAGAAAATCTTAGACGTCAAATATACAGTTTGTTTTCTACCACGAAATAATTTAAAAACAGCATACAACTCTGCCGCGGCTTTCTACGAAACTACCCGAATGTATGTAAATCCCACCGACTTCCACTTTCGCAGATTATCCCATGATCCTCGGCGCTTTCAAGCACTAACAACGGAAGTACACTTACTGTCCTCGTAAAAACAGCTTTGTCTTTGTAAAACCATTCGAAACCGCCCTACTTTGTCTACTGGACTTCCTTTACGGGATATTAAGAAGACAAAACTGTAAAAAGTCTGACGCTTCTTAAAATAGCGAGCTACGTCTGCTATCTGAGTAGTGGGTGGGGTGCTTTTCACAAAAACACCACTACGTATTGAGATCACAATATTTTTTGTCCTTTGTTCTGATTGACATCCAAACAACCCGGAAAGTAAAACCCAAAAGGAAGCTACAATAGAATGAAAAAAATAGAAGGAAAATATTGATAGATAATTTTGTTTGCACTTTCGAACTACAAGAAGGAAGTGGTGCAAGCTCTTGAAAGAGCGTTTCTGCATGTCTCCTAAAGACGACAGTATAAAAGTACGAGAAAAAAGGTCGGTGTACGGCTTAAAATCCACCTCTCGCAAAAAATACTTAACAAAATTACATGTTAAGCATTGGAGAGAGCCTGGACGATGTTGCATTGTATGTTAAAGGTATATTAAACAGCAACAGCCCGGCTCTTCTCCCCGCGTTTTCACCATTAACCAGAGTTCATTGCATAGTCATCTCAGAGTACCTTTTCCTGCGCAAGCCTGTGAAATCTGTGTGCGCAACTTTATAAGGTACATAAGAAACTGAAAACGTAATGTCATCAGAACCGTAATAGCCTGTAAGACTAATATGTGGGACTTTCGGGATAGTCTAATTTTGTGTCATGGTAATTGAAAGCTCTGATTATGGCCCGCGCTCAGAAGCAAGAGGTACTCTCAGGTACATCAAAACAGCTTTGAGGAGCAACACCCTAGACTGAATAGTTTCACTTACTTTTACCTTTATGAGAGAAAAAAGGGACGGAGGGAATGGATGCACGAAGAAGGAGGGAAGAGTACTCCAAATGAGTGCTCTTTGCGTCCCGTTTCTGCTCCACCACCACTGAAAATGTTCTCCGCAACTTGCATAAGTGAACCTTCTGGCAGGCTACGTCCTCTTGAGCCTCTTGAACGCCCAGTTTTCCCTTCCTTTATAAACGCCCGCCAGCTAAGGAATCTCACTCCCAGGAAACCACCCTTTTTAGAAAAACTCTCCATTAATAACTGAAGCCCTGCTTGGAGTCCTTAAAGGATGATGACATCTTCCTCCTACTTGAGGGAGTTTTAGCAACGACGAAGGCGGCGGCAACGAGAAAGTCAATAAGCAATAGGTTTATTAACCAAAACGGCAACTTAGCACGAGCATCACGCTTTTTTGTACATTTCTTTGCCGCCACTAGACGACTACGACGTGAAAATGCCTAACTTCGCGTTTTACGGGAGACGCAAACAAGCAACCGCGAAATTTTCTTCGTCTTTATAAAGTTGAGTGCAGTCCGCAAGAAATCAGCTCCGAGGAAATTCGCCTACATTAGACACTTTCAGAAAAATGGAATAAATGCGACAAAGTTTGAAAGCTTTCTGTTAGCATGGGGCAGGAGAAGAAGCCCATGACCCGGAGCGAACAACTCCCATACAAGGCCTATTTCAAGGCGTTTTCACAGACAGGTGTATTTTTAGATGCATTTTAGAACACTATTTCCCTCCAAAATGAAAACCCCGCTCTGCCTATCAGCGCATTCAAATTATAAAATATGAAAAAGGAAAACTATATGTCATAAAAAAATTTTCAGGTTTTGCTGATTGGTTTGTGAGACAGCTCTTAAAACATATTCTAAATTCGCGCCAAAATTGTTCTAAAATTAAACTGGTGGGTAAGTAAGTAAGTAAGTAATTTTATTTAACCACATATCGCATATGAGCGATAGCTCGTTTAAATGCAAATGTGCCATAAAAATTACAACGTGATAATTTACATAACGTACATGTACAAGTGATAAATAAAAATAAGAAATAGAGAAATTAAATCAACTAAAAAATAATAATAATTTAAAAAGAGAAAATATTGGTAATCAGATTGTCTATTTACAAAAAACACAGTTGCAGTCATACGATGAAGACAACTGTATGTTTTGTAAGTTTTTCCTAAAAATAGAGAGGGACTCCGACATCCTTATTTTGTCTGGTAGATTGTTCCATTGTTTGCCAGCCTGGTACGTGAAAGAATGTTGCATATAAGATGAGGTC